GCTGATCCGAACCTCACTTCTCTTCGCTCCACATCTCTCTCACAAACCTACCATCTCTAGAGGCCCTCAAGCTGCCGCGTCCTGCAACAAATTATAAGTTCAAACCTTGATGTGGTACTTAAGAAAATAAATATGGTAATATAGATATCCAATCAACACTCCGAATATTTACCATGGTTTATAATTGAACAATATGAGGCCCGCCTCAATGTTTTTTTAATATTTGCAATGATTCTTATGCCTCATTGGGTGTTGCATGAGCCTTACACCTCACATAATGTGAGGCCCAGTGCATCTCATCTCAATTCTGATGACGCGTACAAAATTAGATATTTGATTTTTCCTAATAATATATATATATAAAATAATCTTAATAAACATTCCCTACTTGCCCATATACAAGATAACTAAGGATACAGTTAATTTGTTACTATTAATATAGTCATTAATTTAAAATCTAATAAGTATTCTGATTAATTAAAATTGACCAAATAGAGGTAAAATGGTTGAGATTTAAAAAGAAAAGAATAAGAAAAACATACATACAATTGAGAATGAGATGAAGGGAGCAAGTAAATTTTTATATTGACGATTCTAATGAAAATTCATCAGGTGCTAAGAGTGATCAGGAATTTCGAATTAAGAAATTCCAGCTTTAGGAATTCTGACATTGATGAATGACAATAGGGGTGTGAGAAAAACTGAATTGTATCAAACTTATTTTGATATTATAATAGTATGTCTCACTTTGACATTTATATAATAATTTATATTTTTAAATTTAAAATTTGAATATTAATATGTTAGTTCTTACTTTAAACAATTTAATACTTCTATCATATTAAGATGTTAATATTTAGGTTAGTATCTTAATACGGTACTTCTCACTAAATTATTTGAATTTAAAACAAAATTTTGTGCTCTACACAATTTGCTTATTTTGAGACTTACACCTTAAATGCCTTTCATGTGGACAAAAGAAGCCTTAATACTTAAATTGTTCAATTTTAAACTGACGTGGGTATTGAAATTAGCGCCAATGCGCCCTGATACGAGGTGCTTCGATCCTGCAAGCTAGAAGACAGAACCGTAGCAGGGGTGGGATCGCGATGTCTCGCGATCCTTCGCAAACAAGGGGGACGACAGCTGTAGGAATTTCGGGAAGGGTTTTTCTGGATCCTTCTCACATTCCCATCCTTTTCTTTTGTGTAGAAGTTTCTTGGGAGTTTATAAATTGTTGTCATTGTGTGTGTGGGAGCTCGTAGTGTTTGTGCTTGTTCTCAAATTCCCGCGTGAAGTTCTTTTCCCCTTCGTGGGCTATATCCAAGGAGGTGGTGGTGCTTCGGTTGCATCCGAGGAGATGGTGGTGCTTCGATTATCCTCTCTGAGGTGGTGATTGTATCCTCCTTTTTAATTTCCCCAAATCTTCTTCTCCCCACTCAGCCGCAGGACTCTCCCTCTGTCACCCTGCACCTAGCCATTCCCCCTTCCTACAGGTTATTTCTGGTGTCCTGCCTCCCTAACTCCTTTCAACTTCTCCCAATCACCACACTACCGTTGTCGACCACCTACAACCCTTCCAACTTGTTGTCCATACAATTTCGCGCCTTCCCTTTGCTACCACTCGCCTCCCGTGATTGTTTTGATCTCTCCCAATCATCCTTATCCCTCTAGCCAACCTCTAGCACCCATTGGGATACATTTAAGAGTGTTTGTTAGTGTAGTTTTATGTTTTATGTTGTTATTTCCGTTCAAGTCATGATTGTAACCCTATTTTAATATTAATGAAAGTTTCTTTTTGTGTTTCGACTATTTTTCCTACTAGTTTCGGTACCATTTAGTACCAGAGTTACCATGCCCCTACTCCCATCCTAAGATTTCCTAGCATCTGCCCCTACCCAATCCACAACCATCTATTTTTTTCTTCTTCTGATCTGAAGCCCTAACCATGCCACCACAAAGACATACACTGGACTTGACCTGGGAAGAGATTCAACGAGAAATTCATCATCTACAACGAAGACTAGCAGAGATGGATGACGGAAACTAGGAAGAGGTTACATTTGACTGAGATCGAGAGAGTCGAAGGGAAGACAAGGATGAGGAGAGTTCCTTCCACACTGAAGATCACAACGACAAGGAATATCAACCATGTCATTTTGGTATTCAATATCAAAGGAGGCTGAGAGAAGAAGCTCCTTATGGAGGTTAGTGAGATTTTGGCATCAAAATGGACCTCCCAGAATTTGAAGGAGGTATGGACCATGATGAGTTTATCGACTAGCTGCAATCAGATGAACGGATTTTCAAGTATAAAGATACACCAAATGACAAGCGAGTCAAGCTAGCTACCATCAAACTAAAGAAGAATACCTCTTTATGGAAGGAAAATCTACAAAAACAGAGGAAAAGTGATGGCAGTGAGAAGATAACAAAGTTGGAGAAGATGAAAAATGCAAAGCTGAAAAAGTACCTCCCACCCCACTATTGTCAGGATATGTTTCTGAAACTTCACAACTTGCAGCAGTGGGATCTTTCAGTGGATTTCATAGCCCCGTTCGATCACTTTCAGCTGAAGTATGAGCTAACGGAGCCAAGGAGCATAATATAGTCAGGTGCATAAAGGGTCTGAAACCCGCCATCAGCAATGTGGTACAATTGCAGTCTTACTAAACGCTAGGGGATATTCAAACATTAGCATTGAAGGTGGAAAGACAACAGAAGCAAAGCAGACAACAACCATCTTTTAGGCAAGCAGCCACCTACAGTCACCACGACCAACAAGGGCACCCCGGGAGAGACTATCTAGCCCGAACACGAGAATAACAATCAGAATCAGAAAGAGAAGCAGGAGAAAGGTAGTGCCTCCAACACTTTACAAGCTAGGAAATGTTTCAAATGTCACGATTACGACCACATAGCCTCCAGCTGTCCCGCGAGCAGAGTAGTCTCACTTATTGATCAGAGCATCGTGGAAGGAATTAGCGATGAAGAGAAAGCTGAGGAACATGTTGAGGTACAACTTCCCCAATAGAAGAAGGGGCTCGTGATTCGACGAATCCTGCAGACTGAGGACAGTATGGATTCGTAGTGGCTTTGCCACAATATATTCTACACCCGCTGCACCGTGAACAGAAAAGTATGCATCCTAATTATCGATGGACAAGAATGTGACATTGACACAAATGGTAAAGAGATTGAGACTTGCGACGCAGAGACATTCGCAGTCATATTCATTGATGTGGTTGAAGAAGAAGAATCAGGTCGGCATCGATCAAAGATGCCTGGTAGAGTTTTTTATCAGAGGCCAACTACAGAAACAGGCGTGGCGTGACGTGGTTCCTATGGATACCTATCACACTTCGTTGGGATGAACATGGCAGTTTGATCGCAAGACTCAGCACGAAGGATATGGAAACACATATTATTTCATCAAGGATGGGAAGCGCATCACATCCTTCGACGGAGCCTGAGGTCACAGAATCTCTTATCAGCATAGCAACGTTAGTGGGATCAGTTTTAGTAATGACACCAGACGAGAGTACTGAGACACTCGCCCCAGATACAAGATAGAAACTGTCAAGCTTATGTCAAGTCGACGTCATACCAGCAGCACCACGTTCGTGCGAGAAGCAACAAATTACTCTCACTACACGCCCGTTTGAACCGATCGTGAGTTATTTTGGGAAAATTCAGCAGTGTAAGCGTGGTCCACAACCTCAAGAGGACGAATCGATATGAAAATTGGCTCGCAAGCTGGCGAAGAACCTCAAATACCTCGAGTGACAATGTAGTCGCCAGGGTGATCCAGGGTGGCTGAAGACAAAATGGAAACTTCAAACTATGATGTCGAAGCTCCCCCAACCCCAGGAGACTGACGCGGGTACTGAAGACTGACGTGGGTACTGAAATCGACGCCCGACTAAGAGCGCTAAATGCGCCCCAATACGAGGCGCTTCGTTCCCGCGAAACAAAAGACTATAGAGGTTTCACAGAAACAGTAGGCGGGGCAGAATTGTGATTCTCATGCAATGTCACGCGATCCTTCACTAACCAGGAGGGTGACACCTGTAGGATTTCAGGAAGGGTTTTCTAGATCCTTCTCTCCTTCCCACATTTTTCTTTTGTGTAGAAGTTCCTTGAGAGTGTATAAATTGTAAGGCTTTATGTGTGTGGGAGTCAGTAATGTTTGTATTTGTTCTCAGATTCTTGTGTGGAGTTCTTTTCCCCTTTGTGAGTTGTATTTGAGGAGGTGGTGGTGTTTCGGTTTTGTTCTCTACGATATGGTGATTGTATCCTCCATTTTTACCTTTCCCCAAACCTTCTCCTCCCCACTTCTCAGTCGTCAAATTCTCTCTTCGTCACCCCGACACATAGCCATTCCCCCTTCCTGCAGGTTATTACTGGTGCCCCGCCTCCCCAACTCCTTTCAGCTTCTCCCAACCACCACACTACTGCTGTCGACCACCTACAACCCTTTCCACATGCTCTTCATATAGTTCCGCACCTTCCCTTTGCAATCACCCGCCTCTCGTGGTTGTTGTCATCCCTCCATATCACTCTAGCCGACCTCCACCACTTATTGGATTACATTTAAGAGTGTTATCTTGTATCATTTTATGTTTTATGTTGTTATTTTCGTTCAAGTCATGATTGTAAACCAATTAATGAAAGTTTGCTTTTGTGTTTCCAATATTTTCCTACTAGTTTCGGTATTATAAACTTTGATATTTACATAACAAATTTAAACATTATCCTCTATTCAAGCATAGATTGGCAAACCCAAACCTGTTATTTTGAAATGCTAAATGGCACTTCTATCATAACCTTACGTCAGCAAAGAACTTTCACCCAAATGATTGTGCAATGAGAAAAAAAAAACTAAAAACATAACAGATAGCATTACAAAGATTAGTATACGTGAGTTTTCCTGCAGCTTACACAGCATAGCTGCAAAAAACAACTGTTGATTATAAAAAGAATGCTGTTAAGAAAAATACCTCCCAATGAGTCCTGAAAGAGGGCCATTTGTAATCCTGCATTCCATAACAAGTCATAACATAAGAAGCAAGTTGTAAGAGAATAAAAAAATGATGAATACAAGTTAAAATAATGCTGTGTAGCCATGACTTACCCGCTTGATATTCCCCCACCTGCAGAGAAACCACCACTTGGACGCTCAACCAGGTTCATTACCAAATCCACCTTACGTCCATCTAGAATAACATTCAAAGTCATAAATTAAGTTTATAACGAAAATAAATGGAAGCACAAAAGGGAGAACCTGATATGACCTTTAGCTAGGGGCTTAGTTGGTTAAATGTAATGAGAAATGGGAGGTGGGAAGTGGGAAGTGGGAAGTGAGAAGTGAGACAAGTAGAAAATGTTTCGCTGCATAGCTGATAGTGGAAGTGAGAGGTGAAGAAAACTATAATTCTTGGCCATTTAACTTCAGATTTATGCACTGAAGTCGTCTTCAGAAAGGTTGAGTATTTGCAAGCATTTAGAATTCCAAAGTATTTAATTATTAAATAAAGTGGTATATTTCAAAACATTGTTGGTATTTGATTTTCGCAAAAAAAAAAAAAGTAGTTTATTTTTTAGTATTCAGCATCTTGTAAAGTGTTTTAAATACTTGCGGTGACAGAGATGGGGAGCTGTAGCCAGCGTGCAGCAGATGCCAGTGAAAGGCAGCAAGCCACTGTTGGTGACGGCTCATAGCAAGCTACCACCGTTAACAAGCAATGGTGGCGCGATGATGGCGAGACAGAGAAAGCTTCATATTTTCAATGTAATACATTGAACATAACCCAAGCAAAGGATTTTGAATATCTAAAAATATTATATTGCAGTAGTCTTTCATCAAAACAAACACTTGAAAATGCAAAACCCAAGCAATTGTTTTACATGATACTTCAAATGTAAACAATCACATAGCCCCTAATGTTACACTTTCTCTTAATAAATTGTAAATTTGCTCATATATGAACATATGCATGTATCTATACATACATAAGACTTCCACAATCTACTAAAAAGTATATTAAAACATCCATTATATTTACACAATCTAAAAAAAAAATGTATAACTTAATAGTCTACAACATTAAATAATATATTGTAATGTATAATAAAATATAGTAAATAGTTATTCCGTTTTTTCTTGCATGTCCATAATAATCATATTATACTATAATAAAAATATTTAAAATAAAACCAAGGAATAAAAAATTAGTGAATTATTAATAACATTTAATAGTATAATATTTCATCAAAATAGTGTTATGTAAAGATTATTTTTTATATTATATAAGTTTCATTAGTTTCTGTATTTTTAATTAAGTTATAAGTATGCATGTGAGTTCATACATGCATGTATGCACATGTATAGAAATAAAAAAAAAATAACATACTATATTCACAAGCATATATACATACAAACATATCATTTTTATTTTATGATTGTGAATATAATAAAAGACCAAGGAACATCAAGAAGAAAATAGGATCTTCCTTTACAAACACTAAAATGATTTGTTTATATCAAAATTAATGAATAAAATATAATTTACTATGATAAATTATATATCATTCATCATTATTGATAGTATTTAGCCACTTAGATCGGTCTGAACAAACCATTATTTTCTAGGTCAAGGAAAAGCAGCCCAACGCTAACCTGAAATTCTAACTTTGCCTTCCATGTCTGATCTTTTCTCTTTTGACCCCCCCCCCACAAAATCATAAACATGCACGCATCTAATCACGCAAAATAATAAACAGACAATGATACAAGATCTTTACCCGTAATGGAAAAATGAAAAAAAAAATGGCGTGTGATATTTCCATTAGAAGACCATTTCAACGCTGTTACTTTTTTTCATTAGAAGACCATTTAATACCTATACAACAACTTTTTTCCTTCACCGTTACTCTCTTTGATTGATGCTTCACTATCACTGGTCACTGCTTACTTGATTTGACATAAGATGAAACTTCGCATTTGTGGAATCAATTGGGTGTCAGGAATGAAATGAGTTCAACATTTATAATGTACATGTATAAGAATACATTAGGGACCCAACTAGGAGGGATTATAGCCTGGTCAAGGCTATGCCAACCCACAAATATTTGAAACCTTGGATACATTGCCCCTTCCTAATGGAAGGGTCCACTATGGGTTAGACTTGTGTGCACATATATAATGAAACATGTCCCCCTCCTTCACAAGAGCATTTGGGAGAAGTGTGACACGAATCTTGGAGATCGTAAAAACCATGACAGAATCCATCACTTGGAATGCTTGCAGGATGGAGCAACAAGTTTAAAAAACATTATTAGATGAAAGGTCACGAATGGGGCCAACATCCGAGTTATCAAGCAGACATGGATTGATGCAGAGTGCTAAGGGCGCCAGACGGCTGAATCAGCTGGAAATAATTTCTGCAGCAAATAGCCAGTCAGTGGACCGTGTTATGTATGGGGTGGGACTACCGCCCCTCCTATCCCCTTCCTAATGTGCTCTTCTCCGTATGGGAAGTTTTTAATGGCTATTTTCTGGATAATTCCTATGGCCCCACCCCTTTCCTTTTGCTTGGGAGTTTCCTTTCCTATTTCTTTCAATTTCTTCACTAATGGGAATATAAATTGCTGTTTTCTGGTTGTGTGGTTCAGTTTTTGTTTGTTGTTGTGTTCATATTTCTCCTTCGGAGTCTTTTCTCTCTTGTTAGGATTGTATCTAAGGACGGGTGGTACTTCGGTTGTATCCCGCTCCAAGGTGGTATTGTATCATCCCTTACCTCCCTCCCCAACATGTTCCCAGCACCCGCATAGGCTGTCGGCCATCTCCTCTCCATCCCAAGCCTCCTTGCCGCCCATCTCTTGTCATTGTCCCTATTGTCTAGGTCACTTCCTAGCCTATCAAACCCATATACCAGCCTTCCTACCTGCTGTCCTCCACTCCCAACCCTTCTCCACATCAGGACGCCCCATTACAGCCATTAGTCGGGCTGTCCCAGCCCTCCAGAATACCTACCAGTCCTGGTCAACTTTTCCCCTACAGCCACCTTTCCAGCACATCTACTGGCCACCACACTCCTCCCTAACCTATCTTGCAGCTGATAACCCTTCCCCCATACCCGTAACACATTGTCGACGCAACTACCACCGGCGAAACATCTCCTCCAGTCCTAGCCAGAGATTGGTTTTTCTTTTCCTTTCCCGTTTACGCTGTGTTGTAACCCTAATTTAGTGCTAATAAAAGTTTGTTTTTTCTGTTTCAGATAACTTCTGAAACCAGTTCCTATATCATTTGGTATCGGAGCTAGCCCAATCCTAATCTCATCCTAGGATTTCCTAGCATCCACCCCTCCCCGAGCCGCATCAACCAAAATTATTTCTTTTAATTCCTAAACCCAGCCATGTCATCACGAAGAGCTACACTTGACTCTACCCGAGATGAGAATCAACGAGAAATTCATCATCTGCAACAGAGGCTAGCAGAGTTGGATGATGAGATCCAGGAAGAGATCACCTTCAACCGTAATCTTGAGAGTAGAAGAGGAGACAGAGACGCAGATCTGAATTCATTCCATAGGGAAGATCACAATGACGAGGAATATCGACCACACCATTTTGGTATCCAATAGCAGAGGGCAGAGGATGCCAAGAGGAATATGCCACTTATGGAGACAAATGAGATTTTCGCATCAAGATGGACATCCCAAAATTTGGAGGCATTGACCCCAATGAGTTTATCGACTGACTGCAATCCGTTGAACAGATTTTCAAGTAAAAAGATGTGCCAGAGGACAAATGAGTCAAGCTAACTACCATTAAACTGAAGAAAAATACCTCCTTATTATGGGAAAACCTATAGAGACAGAGGAAAAGAGAAGGCCATGAGAAGATTACTAAGTGGAATAAGATGAAGAAGTTGATACAAAAAAATACCTACCATATCACTATCGCCAGGACATATTTCTAAAACTCCACAACTTATATTAATGGGATATTTCAGTTAAGGAGTTCACAGCCCAGTTTAACCACTTGGAGCTGAAGTGCGAGTTGACGGAGCCATAAAAGCATATTATAGTCAGATACCACAAGGGCCCGAAGTCTGCCATTAGCAATGTGATACTGTTACAACCATACTAGACGTTGAGGGATGTCCAGACACTAGCCTTAAAGATGGAAAAACAGCAGAAGTAAGACAGGCAGTCATCCTTCAGACTACCACTTTCAGCTAAGCAGTCAACTATAACTTCTACATCTGAGAAAGGTATCTCAAATAAAAACAAAAAACAGGGGAGGGAACTGATAAGACATATCAGAGTGATAAAAAGCCGGAGAGAGGTAGTTTCCCCAACACAGTGTCGACCAGAAAGTGTTTAAGGAGCCACGACTTTGATCACATAGCCCCCAGTTGCTCAACGAGTCGAGTCGTCCTACTCACACATCGGGGCATTGTTGAGGAGGTCAACGAGAAGTAAGAGGATGGTTCAGAAGGAGCTTCAGCTCCATGGAGATGAGGAATAAGCATTAGTCATTTGAAGAGTTTTGCGGTGGAGCCAGAGTGGCACCAATCCTAGTTAAGGCATAGTATTATTCGTACCAAGTGCACCGTCAAGGGCAAGGTTTGCAACTTAATCATCGACAATGGGAGCCACAAGAATGTGGTGTCCACGCTTGTGTTGAAGAAGTTGGGATTGGACAAGCAAAAACATTCCCAGTCGTATTCCCTTACCTGGTTGAATAAGAAAAATGAGATACGTGTAGATCATTGGTGTTGAGTTAACTTTTCCATTAAGGATAAGCTACAAAAACAAGTATGATGTGATGTCGTCCCTAAGGATGTCCGCCACATTCTGTTGGGTAGACCTTGACAGTTCAACCGCAAAACTTAGCATGACAGCTTCAAGAACACTTATTCCTTCGAGAAAGAAGATGAACGTATCGTTTTGTTACCAGTTAAGGATACGAAAGGCGGAAGTGATACAGAGGCAGCATTAGTTCCCTGGACCACTTTCATGCAGTCAATTAGAGATGCCCCTGTAGTACTAGCATTAGTCCTCCTGGAGGGAATGGAGGAGGAAACTGAGGTACGAGCACTACTAAGACAACTACTACAGGACTTCCAGGATGTTATGACCACTGAGAGACATGCAACACACCGTAGACATTATACCAGGATCAGCATTGCCAAACCAACCCGTCT